CGGAAGATACGGCAAGTGCACGCTGCACTTTGCTGCCTTTTTATTGAGTATCAATTATTCAATCGAAATAAGCCAATAACACAGCAATTTTGTATAAATAATGGTAACATAAGACAATGAATTATGAATGCAATTAAAAAATGAAAAGATATTTAAGAAAAAATATAGCATTAAAGAAGACTTATACATGAGATTCTATACATAATAACTAGCATATAATAAATATGTGCATGTGAGAGACATAAAGATCTTAGGAACGAGAGAAAGAGAAAAGGACAAAAGGATAAATGCAAAAGATGCGAATGTATAAAAGCAAGTGAAATATAAAGAAAACATACCTTAATATTCTGAGGCGGATCTTCGAAGGTCAGAAGCATATAACGATCTCCACGACTCTCTGGTGATCTTTGTCTTACCTACAAAAAAGAGAAAGATTAAATAATTAAGAAATGAATTAAAGAGATAAAATAAAATATGTTTTACATGTTGCTCTCTTTAGTAATGATACAAACTAACGATTAGCTTGTAACCACAATTGAATTTCCCGGTCAGGAAAGCTGTTTGACTAGCGTACCTTCACGAAAGTCTCCACGGCGCTCTTGGCTACATCTAAAAGCGTGGGTCGCCCGCCCAAATATGCCCTCTGATTCATGGAGGCCGACGTGTCGATCAAAAAGACTATTATGGTCATCTTCGCGAGTCGAACCCGCTCGTTCTCGAGGTCGTAACTGCGGCCCGAGACCTCCCGTAGTCAGAACTAGCTAGCTAAGAGCTCTACGACGGCGTGGCGCATAGCTGCTTCGACCATTGAACGCTCCCGAATACGCTCTCCGAAAAACTTCTTTTATCGTAACGGCGCCCGCTTCGCTCTTACTCTCTTTCGATCTCTCTCTTTCTTTTCTTTCTACCTCTTTTTTCCTCTTCCTATATATGTATATGTATAGATATATGATATATATAGATATAATATATATATATATTATGTGTATACGTATGTGTATGTATATATGTATTAATATATATACATATATATGTTTTTTCTCTTTTTCTACACCGAACTGAATCTACTGCTACGTCGCGCGCTTCTGGTGCCTGGTGGACAGCGGCAGAGGATAGTAAGTATCTGAAACGCAGACACAAGAACGCGAGACGTGAATCGGACAAGTCCGTCTGCCAATCTGTCCGCTTGTTCTCGTTCGTTCCGTCCCTCTCTTCTTTTCCTATTCTCACCCTTTCTTTATCTTTCTCTTCTTTTCTTTGTCTTTCTTTCCTTGCTTGGTATCCTTTATCTTCTCACGAAAAGTTTCTATCGGTTTCAATCCTTCATCTTTTTCTTACACCGGTATATACATTTGTCCTTTTTTACCTATCGTTCTTTCTTACTCTTTCAATTTAATGAGAACAAACTTAACCTTCTCTCTCGACGTTTCATTCGTCTCTGTTGACGGTAGTTTCATCCTGCTCGTGGTTACATTGCGTCGTGAACCACGTGATCTTATAGAGTTTCTTTCTATTGGTCAATCCCTCTCTACCTAGTTTTCGTTTCTGCTGCTGAAATGCATCGCGTTCTACGTTGTGTGCGTGCATGTCGAGATGCTGTTTACTTCTGTGAATTGTCGGTTTCTATACATTTTATATATTCACGATCTTCATAACGAAGTAAAGCTAGGTTTAACTTTAATTTGTCAGTGGATAGATATGTGTATACAAGAAAGAAGATAATGTTACAATTAATAAATAACCTATTTACTTTATTTCATTAGCAAGATTTTACGCTATTTTGAATATATATTTCTTATTTTGTTTTAATTGATGTACGTAATATCTATAAATATTGTATATTGTAATAAATTTTATTTTAATTATATCAAATAATTAATGTATGGTATGTTTATATGACATAGAAAAGATATGAGCAAATAGTTATATATGGTTATTTGATGATACATAAAAAATGTATTATATATTATAAAGAAAATAAATTATGAATTATATATATATATATTGAAAAATTTTTCATTTATTTGCATTTTCTTGTTGCATTTTTAATATTTTAATGTTATATATAATTTGCATTTTAATAATTTTATGTAATTTATATTTTAATGTTTAATAAGCATCATATAATAATGTGAATTACAATTTTTTAATCTTAATTTGCATTTCGTTATATATATATATATATATATATATATATATATATATAT